TCTAGAAATGTCAAAACTTTTATTGTAAATGAGGTTATGATATTTTTATGGTTGGTTATTGTTGCTATATAATTTGTTAATCTTACATCTGGCCATGCTACTAAACTCACTAGTTTTACTATTTTGTCACTTAAGTTTCTTTGTAGGTGAATATATGAAAATAATGAGATTTTGCGTGGTCAGGAGCTTTAGTAGTATAATTGTTTTGGTAGTAAACATTCTTGTTTTGTGTCTATATAGGAATGTTTCAAATATTTTCCATAAAGCATAACTTTTGCTCTGAAAAAAAAAAAAAGTTGAAAGATAAATGAAAATCCAACAGAAAATATTTTAAATGCATCTGATAAATAAAAAGTTAATATAACATAGAGAAGATTTCTACCAGTCCATAGGAAATAGAGAAATGATCTACTTTTCTTAAGGGGTAAAAGATGAACAGGCAGTGAAACAATGAAAATGGAAAAAGAAAAAGAAAAAACAAGAGATGCTCTTATGCTAAGCAAAATAAGTCAGTCAGAGAGAAAGATAAATATCATATGATTTCATTCATTTATGGAATATAATGAACAAGTAAACTGATGAACAAAAATAGAACCAGAGACAGCAAAGCATCAAACAGACAGTCCAACCTATGAAGGAAGGCAGGAGGTAAGAGTTAAAAGATCAACCAAAGGACTTGTATGCATGCATATGAGCATAACCAATGGACACAGACAGTAGGGCGGTGAGGGTATGTGCTGGGGGATGGGAGTGGCCACGGAGAGGTCAATGGGGGGAAAGGGAGACTCATGTAATACTTTAAACAATAAATAATTTAAATTAAAAATAAAATAAAATGGGGGGGGGGCGGAAATAGGTGGGTACCCTGGCCGATGTTGCTCAGTGGTTGAACACCAATCTATGAACCAGATCACAGTTCGATTCCCAGTCAGGGCACATGTCAGGTTGTGGACTCAATCCCCAGTGGGGTCATGCAGAAGGCAGCTGATCAATGATTTTCTTTTATCACTAATATTTCTGTCTCTCTCTCTTCTCCCTTCCTTTCTGAAATCAATAAAAATATTTTTTTTAAAACAAGAGATGCTCAATTTCACTATTAATGACAAATTAAAACAATGAAATTACTATTTTTCACCTATCGAATCAGCAAACTGTATAAAAAGTTCATAGCATCCAGTATTGCCAAGGTTGTAGGAAATGGAGATATTCACACATGGCTGTGAATGAATGCACAAATTCTTACAAATTTTTGAAATGCAATTTCACAGAATTTGTTAAAATTTAAAATGCACATATCCTTTCTACAAATGTATCTCATGCAACTAAAGTACAAACATAAGTTGGAATATTATTCAACAATTCTAAACTGAGCCTGACTGGTATGGTTCAGTAGTTGGCGCATTGACTATGAACCACAAGGTCACGGCTCATTCCCAGTTGGGTTTTGGGCTCAATCCCCAATGGGGTGTGCAGGAGGCAGCCAACTGATGATTCTCTCTCATCATTGATATTTCTCTCTTGCTTTCTCTCTTTCTTCCTCTCTGAAATCAACAACAACAACAATATATATCTACACTAATAAAAGAGAAAAATGCTCATTGATCATACCTTCACTAAGCCCACAGCCAATCAGAGCAAGTAGCAAATTAACCCAACAAATATGGCAGTTAATTTGCATACACTGAGGGAGGGAAGAGTGAAGACTGAAGATAGCATAAAAGGAAGAGGGAGAAAAAGCAGAAAGCAAGGTGGCTGCCAGAGGGAAAGCGAGGGCGGGGTGGCTGCTTGCAGGAATCTTCCTGCAATGGGCTCCTAGTGTGTGTGTGTGTGTGTGTGTGTGTGTGTGTATTTTAAAGATGTGAACTCACTTAGATGTCTAAAATACACTGAATGGCACACTGTAGATGCTCAAAAAATGTTCTAAATGAAAAATTATCTTTTTTGTATGAGCAGAAAAAGCCTGGAAGAACATATACCAAACTGACAAAAAATGACTACCCTCAGGAGCATGAAATAACGAGAGGAAAACTAAATTTTTTTTTTTTTGCCTTTTATCCTTTTGTTGCATAAATTGTTAAAATAAATGACTGACTTGTAAAAACTTATTGCTGACAGTTTCTCTCTCCATTTTATCACAATTTTATGATGATCCTAAGAGCAAAAAAACTTGCTGTCAGTGGCTCAACTAACGGACTGCTCAAGCAAATGAAACTTGTATGAAAAAACTGGCTGGGAATTAACATCTTTCATAAGTAAAGGTTTTTGTTTTTTTTCTTTTACTATTTCTACTGATTCTCCTAAACTCACAACCTGACAGTACCTCCCACAGAAGCTAGCGCCTAAATGGAATGGATATTGCCTTCCATTACTATGCACTTTGCATAGTCCATCTTCTAATGTAGCTAAAATTGGGAGAATCTGAAGTCAGAATCGTTTCCTTTTTCCTAATGCATCTAGGCCCAATACCAATCTGTATCCCCTTTTCCAATGAAGGGAGTTTCCTACTGAGGGAAGTCCTAAAGTTTTTCCCAAGTGAGGAGAATGTCAGAGGCCGGGGGGTCTGGAATAAAGGGGATGCAGAAACCGGTTTTGGCTCAGTGCATCCGGCAATGGCCTGCGGACTGAAGGATCCTGGGTTTGATTCTGGTCAAGGGCATGTATAATACATTGGTTGTGGGCACATCCCCGGTAGGAGATGTGCAGGAGGCAGCTGATCCATGTTTCTCTCTCATTGATGTTTCTGATTCTCTATCCCTCTTCCTTATTCTCTGTAAAAAATTAATTTAAAAACAATTTTTTTTAAGGGGGAAGCGGTATAAGGTGACCAGCCTGGCCAGGGATGCACCGCTGGGACACCCATTTTCAGATTGGAGTTGAGTGTACACATCAGGTATGTGCAGAGAAAGCTGACTCGCCCTGGCCGATGTGGTCCAATTGGTTGGAGCATCATCCCGCACACCAAAGGGTGGCGAGTTCGATTCCCGGTTTGGGCACATGCTTAGGTGGCGGTTGACTCCCCGGTGGAGCCGTGTGCGCGAGAAGGCAGCCCATCGGTGTTCCTCTCTCTCCCTTCCTTTCTCTAAAACACATACATTTATATAACTTAATTCCTCTCCCAACTAACTCAAGTAACGACAACTTCGGCCGAGTTAGGTGGGAAAAGGTGGGGTACGGGCTCTATTTGGGGGCACGAGGCTCAAAAGCGACCGAGAGAACGTCTACGAAGAACGTAGGTGGAGCGCCGGCGCTGTTTTTGAGGAGACTTTAGCAAAGCCTTTCCAAAAGCACCCAGCGAAAAGTCATTTCTGGGCCTCCGCTCCTGCCCTCAGTCAAGATGGCCGCACGGGCCTCGCCCGCCCCACGGCGCATGCGCCGCACCGCCAGCCTCCTCTCTGTGCGGAGGCGCCGCCCACTCCCTCCCCAGCTACACCCCGTGCCCCGCGTCCCCGGCCTCACCCCTTCGCTAGCCATCCCCGCCCGGACGCCCGAGCCCGGAAGTGGAACCGCCGTGTAGCGGAGAGGACGAGGGGGGAGGGGAAAGTGCTTCCGGGGAAGCAGGCCCGGGGTTGGTGTTTGTAAACTTGCCTCGGTCCCGGCGGGGGCAGCGGCGGCCACGGGGCTGGCACGGGGTGCTGGGCCCGGAGCGGGCGTCGCGCCGGGGGGGGACCCGGCTGGAGGCCGCGCCCGGCAGGTAGGAGCGCGCCCCGGGGAGCGCGGCGTCGTCCGAGCGAGCGGCGGCGCTTCGGCAGCTCGCAGGCCGTGGGGCGCTGCGCGGGAAGGGGGAGGGGAAGGGAAGGAGGGGCGCGCGGAGAGGGGAGGGAGAGGGCTCCCCGGGGAGTGGAGGAGGCCGCGCGCGCACCGCCCCCCGCCCACGCCCGCTCGCCCGCCCGCCCGCGGCGCTACCGATGCAAGAAAGGGGGGCTCGCGTGGAGGGAAGGCGGGCGCGAGCACGCACCTTGCACGCTCCTCGGCGCTCGGCGTCTCTATCCCGTCTCCAGGCTCCCGGGCTGGCTGGCTGGCTGGCTGGCTGGAGGGAGGGCGGGAGGGGGGAGCCCCGCGCGAGTCCTCGCATGCCTGCCTTCCACCTCCGCGATGAGTTTCTGCACGCACACCGCCAGACTGGCCTCTGCCTCCGATCCAAGTGCCCAGTGATAGCCCCTGAGTTTCTCTCCACCGCGGTCTGGCCACCTTCATAGAGCTTCGCGGATGGCCCTCTCTGCACAAAAGCCCCTGAAGGGCCTCAGCTCCCTTCTTCCCTTCCTAAGACCGCAGATGCAAGCGTTTGGCCAGTGGCGGTTCCTCCACCAGAGACCCCAGTTCCTTTGGCTCTTCTTGACTGTCCCCTCCCCCCTTCGCCAGGAGAACAGTTTCTTCTCGACCTAGAAAGATAACTCCGGCGCACACATACAAAGTTCAGGTCACTACAGGTTGTATAGCCTGAGGGTGATGATGCACCTAACAGCCCCATCTCCCTTTCTAGTTTCAGGTTTCTGAAACAGATCGCGAACTTCATCGAGAAAATTCAGTTGGAAAATCGAGACTGGCACACTTTTTCCCCCCTCAGACAATAGGCAGGAGCCCGGCAGAACCCAGGAATTCTTGAAACATCTATCTTCCGTTTGGAGGACACTTGAGTTTTATTTGACGACAAAGGCAGTTCAGTATGGCAGCAGGACTAAACGGACATGAAGGAGTTGATGTTACAGTGGTTTGGTGACAGTTCTTCAAACAACTGTGTCTTGAGGAAAAGGTGGATCAAGAAAACCCAGAACTTTGGGGTTGCATTGAGAAATCGGCATGGCTCAGGTAAAAAGCTCTAGAATCCTCCACCTTCAAGATAACTGGGAAGCGCGTTCGCAGTTTCACTCTTAAAAACGCTGCCTTAGTCAACACATTGACCAACCCAGTGAGCCAAGCTCTGTATTAAGCACCAGGGGGAGATCTAGAGGAAGGAAAGGAGACAGGCCACAGCCCCCTGCCTTCAGGGAGTTTCCAGTCAAATGAAGGAGGTAGGCTATACTGCATCCCAGGCACTGATGGGACCTTTGCAAAGCAACAGGTATTCAGTTTACACTTGGTACGTTTAAGTGCTGCTGAGGGGCATAAACAGTGGTGTGAATGCTTCCTTTGTTTTGTTTTCAATGGGAATTTATTGAGCTCTTGTTAGATGCAAGGCATTGTGCTGGGGATACAAACATGAATAAGATGTCTCAGTCCCCAGCAAGCTTCTAGGCTAGGTGTGTTGGGGGTGGGGGGTGGGGGGAGGGACTGAGAGACAGTCCCTTATATATCTTTATGTTCACACTGCCTTGCATAGTGGCTAATAGTAGAGAATCCATGAATCTGTTGACTGAAGAAATGTGCAATAATTGAGATATGTGTACTGCAGAAGAGAGAAGGATACATCTTCTGCCGGATGGAAAAAGAAGATGAATCTTGAAGGATGCATAGGATTTTGCTAAATAATCAGAACAGGGCATTCAGACAAGGAGAACTTCATGGGCAGAGACGTAGAGGTATGGGATGATGTGATGAGGTTGGGGGTGCTACAGATAGTTTGCTAGTTGAGGAAAGGGTTTAAATGGGGGAGGGGGGGAGGGGTGTAGAATAGAGAGTAATGGATGGAAAAATTGGGGTGAGGGAGTTGTTTCCTGGAGAATTAAGCAGAGTGTCTTTCATGCCTTGCTAAGAAATTAGACTTTATTCTGTAAAGACTGGGAACTCTGAAGAATGTTAAAGAGCAGAGTGACATCACTGTATTTAGAAGATATTATAATTATCATTGTGAGGACACAGGATGGATTGGAGAGAGAGGATGACCTGATAAGTCTATTGTTGGTATATTTCCTTCGTCTGGGGAGGAAAGCTATGTGCAGGGAACCTCTAGACCCTCTCAGTTTTCTTCCAGGGACCCTCCCCTACCGGTCTCACCAGGATGACAGCCTGATTGCAGTGTAATTGGCTTTCCTCCGGCTGCATGCATACCTTCCTCCTCTCCACAGAGTAGGAGCCCTTGAGTTTCTTCCTTTGTCTGTTTGCAACCCCCTTCACAGCATCGTGTTCACTCTTGTTCTGAGAAGACTGCCTTTCACTAACTTTGCACGGGGCATGGCTGAGCGTTTTACATCCTAGTTTAATTCTTAACCCTGCGAAGGCAGTTACTATGATGAATATTTTGCACTTAAGGAAACTTGGGCTTAATAGAGGTGAAGTAATTTGCCCAAGATTATATGATGCAAACAGCAAGGCTAAGTTGTTGCGTATTTGTTTGTTTGTTTTTTTTACCTCCAGATCCTTTAGTCCAAACTCTTTGAAGGTGAAAGAAGGGGTTCCAGGATATACTGATCATCTAAAAGGAATTTCTTTATAAGTCACACTTGTGGAAGTTTGCTGACCAACTACTACTTAAAAGTTTCTTCAGTAAGAAAAGTATAGTCTCTAGTGCTGGCTAAACAGTCAATTTAAAGAATGTAACAGTGGAAAGAGGACATTTTCTTAAACATTTCCTTGCTTATGTAATTTTAAAATCTATATGTCGAGCAAGGAATGTGAAAAAAAATATGGGTATGCGCACACATAAATGGCCTGGTAGTGTGTGAACAGAAATTGTATATTCAACTAACTCCCAAATCCTTCCAAATGGTTTAATTTTTATGTCTGTTATAATCGGTACACTTAAGGGATTTAAAAATCTAAAGAGAGAAATAACCTAATTTTATTGATAAACATTTGTGGAACCTGATAGGATATATATTTGGCGCCAGTGGGGTCTGTGAGGCTGAGTGCTATTGAGAGAAGGAGGAAGTTCCCCTAGAAATCTCCCATTTCAGTGGTTCAGCAGGACAGACTTTTACGGCCACTTCCAAGGCCCAGAAACACTTCAGAGTAATAAGTAGCACATATTGCTTTGTACCTAGCGCAGTGCTAACGATAAGTGTCAATAATACTTGATTATTGTGTCTAAATGATGGATGACAAAATAAGTAATTCCAGGTGAGATGAGCCGGGGAGGACTCTTGAAGGAAGCAGGGTTTCGCAGTGAGGAGGGGCATTCCTTAGAGAGAAGCAGTTTGTTCATAGGAGTAAAAGGTAGTTCTCTAGAGAGTGGCAGCCTGTTTTTGCCCTGCCAGGTGACCTGACACCTCATCTCCTTTCAACTTAGGCAAGTCTCCTGGCTTGTGAAGGCCTAGCAGGTGTGAGTTTGGTTCCCACTCCAGCCAGCAAGAAGATGATGCTGAGCCAGATGGCCAGCAAGCAGGCCGAGAACGGAGAGCGGACAGGTAGCTCTGATGTGCTGAGGTACTCCAGTCAGGTACGGAGCTGGAATCCATTGTGGCACCTGGGGGTCGGGTGGCCCGAGCTCTCTGCCAGGAGATGCCAATCTTTGATTTCTCGGTGCTTCTGTTTAGGGAAGTGGAATAAGGGGATCCCACTGGGGAATGAATGAAAATGGGTATTTTAGAGAACAAAGGAGGGTCTTTTCTATACCTACATCCCCTTAAGACCAGAGTACTTGGGGAAGAAATGGATGAGTACTTTCTCTTAACCTTTGGGCAGGTGGTTTACTCTCATTTACAAGTTGCCTAAAAGTAGCATTTGGTCTCCTTCCTGTCTTGGGTTCTGAGATGGACTGTGAGTCTAGATTTTATTTGTATTCGAAGGGCCACCGAAAAGACAGCGATAAGTCCCGGAGCCGCAAAGACCATGACAGCTTGGCTGAGTCCTCTCATTCAAAAAAGACTGTTAAAAAGGCAGGTAATGGGGTTATCCACAAACTGGTAGTTTGGTAATGGGGTGATCTTTTGTCTGTGGCTGAACTTGGAGCTTTTCCTAGATGTTTTGGTCCCTCATAGCCAATGAGTGTGTCACCCTAGTAGCTCACCCTGGTGGTTCACCTCTACCTTCTGCAGAGTATCCATGGTAAGGGAAGGAAGGTCAGAGAAGCATGAGATCCTGTGTCAAAAGGACAGGCAGACTATACCTCAAGTTCCATTACAAATATTGAATTTGCCTAGCTGGTTTGGCTCAGCAGATAGAGCAGTGGCCTGCGCACCAAAGGATCCCAGGTTCGATTCCAGTCAAGGGCACATAGCTCAGTTGCAGACTCCTCCCTAGCCTGGGCCTTGGTGAGGGCTCATACAGGAGGCAACCAATCAGTGTGTTTCTTTCACATTGTATTTCTCTCTGTCTTGACTTCTCTCTTCCTCTCTGTCTAAAAATCAATGGAAGAATATCCTCAGGTGAGGGTTTAAATGTATATATATTGAGTTTGACAAGGCAGGCAGCTTAGGCCTCCCCCTCCCCCTTTCTTGCTTGGAGGATCTCTGAACTCTAAGGGATATGGGAGATGACAGCATCAGAGGGGTCACTTTGTCCAGCAGCTGGAAATAGACCCTGAGTAGAATGGGAGCAAGAAGGGGACAGAGAGGTAGTCTCATGACATGCCTGATTGTTGCCCACAGGTTGTAGTAGTGGAACAAAATGGTTCTTTTCAAGTAAAGATTCCCAAAAATTTTGTTTGTGAACACTGTTTTGGAGCCTTTCGGAGCAGTTACCACCTCAAGAGGCACATCCTTATTCATACCGGTAAGTCTTTTGCTCATATTCAAAGAGGGGAGAATAGTCAATAGTTTGGTGTGTGTGTGTGTGTGTGTGTGTGTGTGTGTGTATTATTAGGTTTATTTTATGTTATTTTTTGTTGGGTTTGTTTTAAAGGGTATTAGAAGTAAAGGGGAAAAGTAAATGAATGAGATAGAGATTGCATGGCACCATATCTAGTGTCACTGAGACGAACAGCTTTGTGGACCCTTCCCCATAGGTGTCTGCACATTGCTAAAAGTTAAAATTTCTGGGAAAATAACTAGAACGAGGTCCCTGCCATGTATACCTCCTGGTATTAACTTCTGTCTCCACCTGGGCCAGGTGAGAAGCCATTTGAGTGTGATGTATGTGATATGCGCTTCATTCAGAAGTACCACTTGGAGCGTCACAAGCGTGTGCACAGTGGTGAAAAGCCCTACCAGTGTGAACGGTGTCATCAGGTAAGCTCACATGTCATCCATCCACCCTCCACAGAAACTTTTCCTTCCAAAGAACCGGGCCGGCCCCCACTCCCAGCCCCACAAAGGGTCATGATCAAGTCAGTACCTCAGGGTGAGGTGTGTTTCTCTGATTAAGCAAGGGGCCATTAGAATCCTACCTAATAAAAGAGCAATATGCAAATTAACCATCATTCTGCTGTACCTACAAGCCACACCCACCAGCCAATCAGAGCAAGTATGCAAATAAACCCAACCAAGATGGCTGCAGCCACAAAGAGCAGGAGGGAGACTTGGGTTTCCCAGGCAATGGAGGAAGCCAAGCTTTCTGCCTGCCCTTGTCGGCCTAAGCCTCCACTTAAGGCTACAAAGTTTCAATTATAGGAGGTAAACAAATCCAAACAGAAATGGCTGCCAGCCACAGAGCGAACAGGAGGCTTGGCTCTGTTCCAGGCTACAAAGTTTCAATTGTAGAAGGTAAATAAATTCCAGATTCCAGGGCCTCCACTTGGGTTGCCATGGGGCGTGGCCTGCCTGCAAACCACCACAGGCCCCTCACTCAGGTCACCCCACACCCCAAGGGAATCCCCACCCTGATCAGGGCAAACCAGCTGGCCCCCACACATGCACTAGGCCTCTATCCTATCTAATAAAAGAGTAATATGCAGATTGACCATCACTCCAACACAAATTAGCTGTCCCCATGAGGTCAAAAATCTTGCCCTCATGTGGACACAAGATGGCTACCACAAGATGGCCAGCATGGGAGGACAGTTGGGAGGCACCAGGCCTGCAAGGGAGGGCATGTGGAGGCGATCAACCCTGCAGGGGAGGGCAGTTAGCAGTGACCAGGCCGGCAAAGGAGGGAAGTTGGGGACAAACAGACTGGCAAGGGAGCAGTTAGACATCAATCAGGCTGGCATGGGAGTGGTTACGGGGTGATCAGGCTGGCAGGCAGAAGTGGTTAGGGGCAATCAGGAAGGCAGGCAGGTGAGCAGTCCTGGATTGTGAGAGGGATGTCTGACTGCCAGTGGGATCGGATCTAAACGGGCTGTCAGACATCCCTCTAGGGGTCCCAGATTGGAGAGAGTGCAGGCTGAGCTGAGGGACAGCCCTCCCCACCCCCTCACCCCGTGCACGAATTTCATGCACCAGGCCTCTAGTAATTATAATAAAAAATTATTATAATAATAGCATTTCTTAAGGTCTTAATCTATACCAGGCACTATGAGAGCATTCTTTTTTCTTTTTTTTTTAATATATATTTTATTGATTTTTTTACAGAGAGGAAGAGAGAAGGATAGAGAGTTAGAAACATCGATGAGAGAGAATCATCGATCAGCTGCCTCTTGCACAACCCCTACTGGGGATGTTCCCGCAACCAAGGTACATGCCCTTGACCGGAATCGAACCTGGGACCTTTCAGTCCACAGGCCGACACTCTATCCACTGAGCCAAACCGGTTTCAGCTATGAGAGCATTCTTGACATAGATTATTTTACATTCATTCCATAATGTGTTGTCCTCATTTCACATGTGGGAAAACTGAGATTGAAAGAGGTTAAGCTTCCCAAGGACACAGCAGATCAAGGCAGAGTCAAAATTCAGTCAAACTTCAGAACTGGAAGAAGAAATATAATCTCTGCACTGAGAATCAGTATCTGATCTGAAGAGAATGTAAGAGCCAGGATCAAAACAAAGGACAGGAGATAAGAAATGATAACATCTCCTGTATGCTTTACTATGTCTCAGGCTTTGCTCCATGCGCTTACATTGAATCTTCAGAACTCTAGAATGAAAGCTCCATGAGGCAGAGACTCAATAAAAATTTGATGAATAAAGGAGCCACAGTCTGAGAAGGCACTTTTAGCCCCATTTTTCAGATGGGTGTACAGATTGAAAACTGTCAGGTAACTTGCCCAGAGTCACACAGCTACTTAGCGGCAGAGCCACAATTCACACTTCTCAGCTTATTTGTTCTTAACCACTATGCATTCATGCCATCTGTGTTCGTCCTGGGGCAACATAGAATTGGTTTTGTGCCTACTGTGTGGGGAAGACGGGTCTAACCAACAGGTATCTGAGTTTCTCCTCTCAGGCACTTACCCCTTCCTTTCTTCTCAGTGTTTTTCCCGGACAGATCGATTACTCAGACACAAACGGATGTGCCAAGGGTGCCAGTCCAAGACTTCCGACGGGCAGTTTTCTCTATAGGCGCAAGGGGCCCTGGGTGGTGGGAGTGCTGAGAAGAATCTACCGAAGAACACACCCTCCTTTGGTCTGACGGTCCCACCACCACCCTGTGTGTGCCTGGCCCCTCCTGGAGGAGCGGACCTAGGAGACCGAAAGCGTGCCTCAGGGGACAGCAGCCCCGGAGCCTCCGCTCTGTAAATAATCTGAGACACACTATGAGCATCTCGGGGAAGTTCCTACAGCATTCCTGGGCAGGAAAGCTAGTCCCTGGACCTTTGGCTGACGACATACGTGGGGGGACTCAAGGTACAGGACCAAGACTGAAATGTGGCTCCCAAAACCTTGGACTCCAACTGGCAGCTGAAATGAAAAAGATTGGGAGAGGGATTTGTTTATTTGTTTGTCCTGTTCTTTTTTAATCCAAAAGCAATTTCAGCAGGTACACTGTGGATACAGGTAATCTGGAGGTATAGAACCATGGCCACAGGGACGATGTGTGGTCCAGCCCTCCTGAATTGAGTTTTTAGTTGCAACTGGTCCTCAGTGTTCCACAGCCCTGCACCTCACCTCCTGCTTGAAGGAGAATGGGATCAGGGATGGCAACTGAGCTTACTTTGGCTTCCTTATACACTGTAGGGACAAAAGGAGGAACAGTAGGAGGAGCAGACGAGGGCTGGATCCGAGAAGAGTGGACAGGTACCTGTTATATATCCTCTGGGGAAGAGTAAGAGTGCCCACGGATGTTGTGATGAACCGTGCCACACTGGTACCTAATGGGGTCAGCCTAAGTGCCTTTTGGAGGAAACTTGGGTGACAGTGGCTCATGAAGCCCTTTCCTTCTCTCTCTGGGCAGTTGACCTTGGAAATAGTTTGTGGCTACCTCGCTGCCATTGATTCCTAAGCCAAACGAGTATTGAGCAGGGAGTCATGGATATCAAAGTAGTTCTTCCTCCTTGTGCCCTCTTTAGATCCACCCAAGACTAGTCCTAAGTTGAGTAACAGCTGTTCTGGAAGCAGGAATTGGGTGTCCCCTGACCTGATTGTTGAGCAGTGTGAGCTGTTCTCTCTGCCCAAGTCCTATCACTGTATTCAGGTAGAGGAGATAGGGATCTGGCCTTTGGTCCCAAAGTACAAGATCTCGGCTTCCTTCTTGATGGCCATCCCTACCCAACAGAGAACGGGGGGGAGCAAAAGAGCTGCAGAAAAAGGACAGGATGAAACCTAATGTAGGTTTTATTCTTCACCATATTCTTCGCTTCTCTCTGCTTCCAACACCATCATCCTTTCCACCTTCAAAAAAATGATCTGGGGAGGTGTATGTGTGTGCACCATGTGAGGGTGAGTGTGTGCTTGGAGATGGCATATTATTGAGCCAAACCTTTCTCTGGCCTCTGCTCAGGGGAGGGTGAGCAAGAAACAGCCTTCCCTGCCCCAGACCTGAGGGTGTGTAAGGTTCCAGCAGGACCTGAGGAACTCATCTTAGGGAACAGGAGGGCCTTGTTGTAGAGGTTTTGTTTTTAGATTGGCTGAACAGAGTGGAGCTTAGATTTTTCTCACGTATGCCAGGAGCTTGTGAACATGAGTTTTCTAAAGTGAAATAAACCCCTCTTCCTGCTGAGGAAAGGATCCTTAGGGAAGGTCCTGGGGTTTGTGGCCGGCGTTCTGTGGTCTCCCTGCCCTGTGGAGTGAGGAGTGATCATGGAGACTTGATAAACCTGACCAAGCTGTCAGTGGAGATCATGTGGCTTCTAGGAAATGTGATTTCTTTCCCAGAAAGTGTAGGGAACAGCAGCACCATGCTCCTGGCTGCTACCTGTCGAAGAGAGCAAGGAGCAGTGGGGCAGTCCTTTGTGCCTCTGAGGTGTGAGCATTGCAGGGAAAGAGGAGAGGGGCATGACCCTTTTAGGTTTTTCCTGAGAGCGTCTGAGATCCTTCCCTTCGGGGAGACCTTGGGGAAGGTGCTTGCTGCCAGTGGTTTAGGCTGCCACTCACAGGGGTTGTGTCAGAACCCGCCCTGTGGTCCCTGTTAGGGCATTTTTCTGCATGTGAGCCAGCCCCTTCCGGGAGAGTGCTCTGCTCCAGCTGGAATGTGTCTGTTGTTCGCCTCTGGGAATATGTTCTGGGAAGGAGGATACATTTAGAAAACTGTCCTCCCAAGAGCGCTTTTGGAAACGGGAGGCCTCGCTCCCTGCCGCTCACTGGGTTGAGGGTTGGGGGTGGATGGGCGGGTGTGGAGAGAAGCACGTGAGTGGTCCATGCCCCTATGTGTGTGAATGTGTGTTTAGGTCAGGATGTGCCCTGGCCCCAGCAGGCCTCAGCTTCCTGCCTGAGGGGGGCGGGGGGAGCGGGGAAGCGAAGTGGATATGTAGAGCCATGGCCCCAGAACCACTCCTGCCAACGCCTGGGTGTGGGGGAGACCCAGGAGCAAGTGGTCAGTTGGGTTGTCCAGGTGCTGATGTTCTGGGGCCATGGATGGATAGGAGAGGGAAGCAAAGAGGTGAAAGGAGTGATTTAGCGCCCAGGGGGCCCAGGAGCCTACTTACACCCCAGGGAAACCATAGACAGACCGCCGCAAAGGCTCCTGGGCCCAACACCCCACCCTCCGTGTGCTGGGATGGGGTCTAGCACTGGAAAGATGCCTCAGGTGTGTGTGGAGTGAAGGGAAAGGGAGATAGGGCAGGCTCTCGGAGACCAGGATCTGGAATTGGACCCGGGAAAGAGGAGCCCCAGTTCCTGGGTGAACTGCCATACCAGGCCCTGCCAGCCCTGCCCTGCCCAGCACCTCAAGTCTTTCCCATCCACCCCAACAGCCTCTTGTCATCACTTAGCTACTGACTGTGCCCCATGGCTTGACACAGGAGGGTTAAGAGACCAGAGTCCCTCCACGACTTTTAACCCTCTCCTCAGACTCTGCCTCCACTGAAGCTCTGGGGCTTTTCTCTTAATCCCTCCTACCCTTCCTCACCACCCACCCTTTCTTTTTTTTTAATATACTTATTTTGCTATTGGAGGGGGGGGGGTTATCAGATGAACAAGATCACTTTTAAATGGTAGTTTTTATAAGATGTTATAAACTTGTATCTTTTTACCATTAAAGTGCAGTTGTATGTTCCTTCGTGATATATTTAGGATATTTAAATAAAAAGAAAATGGGGCTTTTTTACATACTATCTCATCTTTGAAAGGAATATCCTGTGGGGAGTTTTTTTCACAGGGACCGACGTGATGTTCCCCCCATATTACCATCCTACAATTTCAATACCCTTTAGACCGCCACCTTAAAACTTCCTTTCTCCACAGGCAAGCAACAAGTAGAATTGAAACCAAGGTATCAATATATGTACTAGAGGCCCAGTGCATGGATTCGTGCACTGGTGGGGTCCCTCGGCCTGGCCTTTGCCACCTCACAATCCGGGACCCCTCGGGGGATGTCAGAGAGCCATTTTCGGCTGATCCCACAGGTCTGGAGCCCAATGCTGTGCATTGAGCGTCTGTCCCTTGAGTATCAGTGTGAGTCATAGCAATCGGTCAACTGGCCGTTAGGTCGCTTAGGCTTTTATATATATAGATATGGTATCCATTCTGATTAAGAGAAAAAAAACCTGCAGAACAAGAAAATGAGGTTAGATACCAGCATACACAGTGTTGTGTTGTTGTTTTTTAATATATTTGATTTTTTTTTTTTTTTACAGAGAGGAAGGAAGAGGGAAAGGGAGTTAGAAACATCAATGAGAGAGAAACATCCATCAGCTGCCTCCTGCACACCCTCACTGGGGATGTGCCCACAACTGAGGTACATGCCCCCCACTGGAATCGAACCCAGGACCCTTGAGTCCCAGGCTAACGCTCTATTCACTGAGCCAAACTGGTCAGGGGACACAGTGTTTGTTAACATGATCTGTAATCTGAAGATTCTTTATTGTATTTGTGGGTGGGGTGACCCCCACTCCTGAGGGGTAGGGAAGCAAGGTTGCAGCAGGAGGCCGGCCCTCTTGGGTGTCGTCGAAGTAGGTGGCCATTGGTCCCCCAGCAGGCTGCTGCCTGATAGACCCATAGCCCCAATTCCCCCCATCCTCCCAGCAAGGAGAACCCTGGAGTGAGTAGCCCTACCCTCTTCAGAGAGGAGGGCTTTCTGGAGCTTGGAAGCGGGGGTTGATGGTGGTCGTGATGGCGCTTTTGTAGAGAGGATTTCTCTCCTAGAGGAGGAAGTTGGAAATGATGAGGAAAAGTCCCAGGACTTCTCATTTAGCTGATCCTAAACCCCAATCTAGAACTTAGTGGGACCTTAAAAGCCTGTGGACAGGCCACAAAGGCCTAGGTGATGGGGGTGGTGCCTGCGGGGGAGGAGTCAGGGCTAAGCGTGGAATGAGAAAGCTGAGGCAGAGGACCTACCCGAGGAAAGCAAGTGAAAACCAGCCCAGTGGACTGGGAGGCAGCCTCACCTGCTTCCAGTTGAGCTGCTGCCGCTCCTTCTCAAAGCGAATGTATTCTCGGCGGTCATAGATTTCCACTGAGAGCCGGTAGGCCAGGACCAGCACCAGTCCTACTGCCACAATGCCCCCCACACAGCCTAGCACGATGGCCTGGGTGTGATCTGCTCCCTCTGTGGGGGTGAAACAGAAAGACTTCTGAGCCGGTGGCACTCAGAGATTGAGCTGCCCAGTGTGTGTGCAGCCCCATCCGACCTCCCCAGTCTTCCCTGCCATTGAAAACAAAGGGAACTCAGCAGGTTTATGTTCAGTGCCCAGTTTTTTAGCCTTCTCCACTTGACCCATTATGTCCACTTTTGCCTGGATTCTCAGCTCTGCTTCAATCCCTAGTCTGGTTTCTCCATCTTTACCTCCCAACCTGATTCCTGAGGCCCTACTCATCAAACTCCACGGCTCCATTTGGCATGTCAAGGCATCCCTGTCCACTTACTCTCTTGGGGTCTCACTCTCAGCATGACCCTGCCTCCGGTTTCCTCCTCCACCAGGAAGAAGAACAGCTGGTTGTCCAGGGTCCTCTCTTTGCACCAGCCATCATCCAGCACAGGGGCCAAAGCCAGAGTCACGTTGGCATGGGCACAAGCCATGCTGCAATTGGTGGCCAGGAGACCGGTCCCAAAGGCCCCACACTCTGCACAGTCCCTGTCCAATAGACACCAGTAAGGTACTGACGGGGCAATTGTCACCCACACCACATGGAGGGAAGCAGGCAGGGGCCCCAAATGCAAGGCCTGAGGCCTTACCTGTGTCTCTCGCATGGTGTCTTGCAGCCTGGGCACTGATCACATAGGGCACCGAAGTAGCCGTCCAAGCACTGGCAGCGGTTGCATTTGCAATGTCCATGCCCACTGCAGAACCTTCCCTCGGGACTGACACAGCCATCCGTGTCCCCACTGCACTCACACGCTCTGCCCGTGCGATTGGCGTGACAGTGACACACGCCACATTGGCAGAGGCCAAAGCCTGGAGCACAATCACGCACAGGGTGACAAACATATTCCACACACACAATGGACATCACAGCCTAGACCTGCCTGTACTGGGCATCCTGTCCCCTCTCGGTATGCTAAAAGTGTACCCCAACTCCTATACCAGAATCCCTTAGTGCCTGGAAGGTCCCAGAGCCTAAATACCCTTGGGAGAGCCACTCTGAACCTTCCCTTCTGCCAAAGGTCCCCAGGTACCTCCACAGAGGATGCCCTCATGTCGCTCACAGCTGGCATCATCACACTCGCACAGGCGCCCAGAGCTCTGTCCAGTGCAGCTGCAGCGTCCACACTGGCATCGTCCTTTCCCACTGCACAGGGGCCCTGTCCCATTGGGGCCCCGGCACCCAGATTCCAGATCTGGGGAGGACAGCTCAGCCTCAGAGCACTCACAGAGTCGACCGAGGCGACCTGGGTTACAGCTGGGAGGCGAAAGGGAGAGAACGGTGGGTCCGAGAGTTCGGCCATCCCTTTACCTGTCTTTCCCAGGATACTCTAAACCAGTGGTCAGCAAACTCATTAATCAACGAGCCAAATATCAACAGTACAACGTTTGAAATTTCTTTTGAGAGCCAAATTTTTTAAACTTAAACTTCTTCTAATGTCACTTCTTCAAAATAGACTCGCCCAGGCCGTGGTATTTTGGGGAAAAGCCACACTCAAGGGGCCAAAGAGCCGCATGTGACTCTTGAGCTGCAGTTTGCTGACCACGGCTCTAAACCTAAGGTCTCACAAGAGTTGTGATAGATGGTGGCTGAAGGGATGTGGAATATAGTCAGGTACCAAGGAGTGGAAGAGCAGAGTGAGTCCTGGTGAAGGGGAGGTCTCAGCATGTCTGGGAAGCTTCAGGAGATAAAAATCAGGGTGCAGTCTAGGGATTTATAGGAAAAACTTGCCTAGAGATGCCAGTGGAAGGATGGAAGGCAAAGGAGGAGGAATACAAGAGCTGTATTTGTGGGGAGCTACATAGGTGGAGGGACGCTAGGGGCCCTCACCTGCACACCCCGCATTGTAGGTGCCCATGGCCGTCACTGCAGTGGGGCGCTTGGAGCTGGGTGTCATTGCAGTTGCAATCACACAGTGTGTGCAACTCCACAGTCAGCTCCTCTGAGAAGCCAAGAGCTCGGAACCTCAGAAGATGGGGCTCTGAGAGACACCGGGTAGCTTGGAAAGTAACCAAAAAATTTACCTGCAGGCAGAATAGGTAGAAATAAGACTATACTCATATGTGCACCCCTGTACACATGGGCACACACCCCAAACCTATTGATCATCCAGAACCCTATTCCTTAATAAATTAAGGGACAGAGTCAATGCTAACACCCATCTCCTAGCAACATGTTTGAAGCTTATCACTAAACCCCTTCAGAAAGGCTGGATGGAGAGCTACTTCAGGTTCTTGCATTGTTCTCTGCGTGCCCCCATCTTTTCCTGCCTGCCTCAATTTCCCACTCCCACCCCCACTTCCTTCATTCTGCCTATTATTCAAAATTGATTTTAGAGAGAAGGGAGAGAAACGTTGGTTGGTTACTCCACTTATTCATACATTCACTGGTTGATTTCTTGTATGTGCCCTGACCAGAGATCGAACCTGTAACCTTGGCATATCGGAGTCAATGCTCTAACCAATTGAGCTACCTGGCCAGAGCCCCTTCTACCTATTCCAAGTGGCTCTCACCGTCTGGTTGATTCGGACATGGTTGCACTGGCCCCGGTCCCCAGGCTCACCAGCCCTCTTCTCATGACCCCCACACTGAGATTGGTAAGAGATGTGGACCCCCGGAGGGAGTGGAGAGTGTTCGAGGGTCACAGTGGATGACAGACTCTGTGGGGAGAGAATGAGTAACCACATGAAGGTGGACTCTGACCCACCGTATGCCCTCTCCAGCCATTCCAAATTCTGCCAGAGCCGTCCTCAGCCCACCTGAAGGCTCCTTCCATTCTGCCTAGTCTGAGGCATTTCTGGAGGGGGACCTGTGAGAACTTCGAGGGGAGAACAGGGGGATCCAGGGCCTCAAATAGCATTTCAGTGCAGCTGCAGCCAGGGCTTGCTGGGGCTCGGGCTGGCCAGGCACCGTAAACATGCAGCAGCTGTGTTTTCAAATCCCAAATCAGGACATATAACCTGTGTACATACAAGGTCTAAAGGGCAATTCTTTCAGACTTTGTCCTGGAAAATTTGATTCTGCCTCGGGTTTTCTCACTGTGGTTTTAGGAAGTGGTTCCTGTCATCAAGAAGCCTACAGTCTAGTTACAGAGATAGACCTAAACCAAGAAACAAGAATTTTCATGGTTCCTTCTACCTGTAAAACTATGTTTCCTGTGAGGAATATCTGAGTTGTTTATAAGCTTAATGAAAGCAGGCTCCGGCCGGGACCGGTTTGGCTCAGTGGATAGAGCGTCGGCCTGCGGACTGAAAGGTCCCGGGTTCGATTCCGGTCAAGGGCATGTACCTTGGTTGCGGGCACATCCCCTGGTGGGGGGTGTGCAAGAGGCGGCTGGTCGATGTTTCTCTCTCATCGACGTTTCTAACTCTCTGTCCCTCTCAATTCCTCTCTGTGTAAAATCAATAAAATATATTTAAAAAAAAGAAAAAGAAAGCAGGCTCCGGATAAGACAATATTTATGTACAGGCTGACCAGAGGACAAATCCCTGCCCCCCTATCTTTGATCTGAGTGACCTTGGGTAAGTCACTTAGCCTCCTTGTGTCTGTATTCCCTCTATAAATAGGGATGGTAATAGTTACCAAGCAGCAGGTTTTGTGAGGTTAAATGGGATAGCAGTCTAAGTATGTGCACTTAGGAGTGTGCTTGGCATGTATTTTCTTCCTTGCTCAGAGCTGGGCTCCATTCTCTAACAAATCAGACACTTAAGATTTATGAATGTAAGACTAGATGAGTGAATGAACTATTAAGACAACCCTATGCAAGCAGCAGCTAGGAGCTATGGTGGGTTACCCAAAAAGCCATTATTCCCTCTTAGTTCGGCCACCCCTCTTGAGGGCCCTTTCCCACCTTGCCCCAATGTCGCCCTCTCCGTTTCCCGCCCCCTCAGCTCCTCACATTATAAGCGTCCATGATGAGCTGTACCACGTTGCTGGAGTTCTCACTCAGCTCCCCCACTGCGGACTTAGGGATCAGCTTACTCAGCTCCTAAATTATGAGGAGTTGAGGGAAATGATGGGTCACAACTCCAGAGAAATGGGCCTCTGGGGGTCTGGAAGGAGGGCATATGGGGGAGAGAAGAATGGGTCTTTGAGAGACTTGAGGAAGGCCCAGGGTGGCAGGGCCTGCCGTCGGGACAGCTCTCACCTGGTAGACGGGCAGTGTGGCACTGGTGACAGCAAAAATGGGCTGGATGTTTGCTGCAGAGAGAGCTTGGGCTACCTGGCCCACGGAGGGGTAGTCCTGGAGCAGGGAATGGGGACAAGGTGAGCACCGCAGGTCCTCCAAACATTCCAGGTCCCCTCAGCCCCGGTAATCCAGGGACTGGGGTTCCACCAGCTAGAGGAGCCCTGAGGGCCTGGCGAGGGAGGGAGGGGCTCAGGGGTCTGAGCAGTGCAGGTGGAGCTGCCGGGGAAACGGGGTGGTTACCAGCGAGGAGAATGAAGCTGGGCGGGTGAGGTCCTGGGAAGAGAGGAGGTGGGGCTCGGACAGGGAGGGACATGGGACTGAGATGGACTCACAAACTCTGGGCTTCGACTGTAGAGGCCATTGCTGTCCAAGTGGCAGTGCCCATCACTGGGCATGAAAATGCCACCCAACTTTCCATCCCCAGCTGTGTGGAACGTGTCATCTGAAGTGAACACCAGCAGCCGAGACACATTTCTCCAGCCAATCTGCTCCTAGGGTGGGGTAGGGGGTGGTAGGCTGTGCACCTGAGCATGGCCCTTGAGCCACCCCAGCCAGCAATGGGAGCCAAGGATTTGGCCAGCCTCGTTCTGAGTCAGTTTGTCTGTAGCCCTGCCCCCAGCTCCCTGCTTTTTTTTCTCTAGACCCTAAGGCAGGGTTGCTGCTAGTGGAAGCATTCTTGTGAGTTAGAAAACATGCCTCTTCCTCAAGTTATTTTACTTCAATTTGCTAGGAAATCGTCAAAATAAATGTGCCAGCTACGGCGACGATGTTACAAATGCTACCTACCCTGTGGAACTGTGCACTGCACAACCACAGGCGGCAGTCTTGGCGCCAAACAGCCCTTCAGTTTCAGACCCTTCCCCCTCCCCACCTTCTCACCTGGCAGAGTGCTGCCTGTAAAATGGCATCGAAGCCACCTTCCGGGGAGTCCAGGTTGCCAGACACACTCTGGCGCCCCACCTCCCGCTCGAAGGCCTTCGCGTCCCCCGTCAGGGACAGCACGTGATGAAAGCTGAAGGGGGGCTGGCAGCGCTCCAGGCGGGTGGGGCAGGGATGGCGAAGCTTGGAGGGCACTGTGCTCACGAAGGGCAGGACCGTTTTGTCCACAAAGGAGCCGAAGCCTAGGGGGAGGGGGAGGGGGAGGGATGGAAGCTGAGCCAGGGTCGGACAGCAGCAGCAGGAGGGGAGGGCCCCTGCTGAGCACAGGAAGGGAGGAGTCCGTGGGGTGGGGGCATCCTAGAGGAGCCAGGGGTTCCTGAAGGGCAGGGACCCAGTACCTGGCAGGGCAAAAGGCTGAATCCAACAGCTCAGGGAAGGGGGGAAGGGGATGAAGAGGACACAAAGTGGGGTCAGGCAAGGGTTTCCTGGAAGCTGAGCAAGAAGGTAGAGTGTAAGGAGCAGCAGCATGAGGCAAAGGAGGAGATGGGTCTGACTGGTTTAACTCAGTGGATGGAGTGCCGGCCTGTGGACTGAAGGGTCCCAGGTTCGATTCCGGTCAAGGGCATGTATTGTGGTTGCGGGCACATCCTCAGTAGGGGGTGTTCAGGAGGCAGCTGATCTATGTTTCTCTTTCCTGGATGTTTCTAACTCTCTATCCCTCTCCCTTACTCTCTGTAAAAAATAAATAAAATATATATTAAAAAAAAAAAAAAAAAAAGGAGGAGGAGGAGATGGAGACCAGAGAAGAGGAGAGCACAGATGTGCAACCAGGGACAGTGGCATTTAGAGACCCAGGGCTGAGCCAGAGGCTGAGTTGGCAGGTCTGGGGCACTGCCTGAGCCCTGGGAGCTGCCTGCACACAGTCTCTCCAGACTCAGCCTCAGTCACACTTCCTGTAAAATGAATGGTGCTACTGGAGTCTCTTAAATCCCCTCCAGCTCTGACCTAGAAGATGGATGTCTTTGGGGGGAGATGACAGATGGCCTGTTAAAACGGGAAGAGGGCAGGAGGGGCCCGTGTGTGTCCAGGACGTTGGCAGAGGCCAGGGCAGCGGTTGGGGTTGGAGGCAGAGGCTGGCAGGAGGCGGGGCCGCGCCGCGCTCACCGATGCGCACAGACTGGGTGACCTCCTGCAGCCGCACCAGCAGGGCGTGCCCGAGCTGGCGCACGAACTCCAGGTCGTCCTTCATGGAGTAGCTCAGGTCCATCAGGTAGTACAGGTCCACAGGGTACCCCTCGGCGCGGAGGAAGCGGACCTGCAGCTGCTGAGGCTCCCCTGGGGACAGGGCAGTGGGCGTCAGCGGGGCACGGTCAGATCCACCCCCGGACCTGTGCCCCTGCCCGGCCCCAGCTCACTCACCGGGGCGCAGCGCGACCCGCACCCGCTGCGGCGCCAGCTGAGTGGCCCCCTCACCGCCCCGGGAGCCCTGGCTGAGCGGCTGGTCCTGCAGCACCTCCTGCTGGCCGCGGGGCTCCTCCAGCTCCCCTGGGGGGCAACCCCGGGCCAGCAGCTCCTCCCGCGAGGCGCAGCGCCGCTCCTCCGCCTCCCCGGACGCTGTGAAGTTCTGTACCGCAAGGGTAGATGGGTCAGGACCCTAATCCACCCTCACTCCCACCCCATCATCCCTAGGCCTGCTCCCAGCCAGAACTACAGCCACTTCTAACCCCTCCTCTCTCAGTCAACTCCTTGAGCCCTTCTGATTCCCTCCCCTCCGCTTCCTTTCACAGTCGTCCTTGAACCCCGGGCCTTTCTTCCTTGTCAGAGCCCACTTCCTCCCTTATCTCGACTCCCCCCTTCCCCAGCCACCTACCCTTCCCCTCCCGCCGGGGCTGCAGACTTCCTGTTGAGAATCTCTGGGGCCTCACTTCCACCAGAAAAGGAGGAGCCCTGCCTTCCTATCCAGCCTGTCCTGCTTGCTCAGGCGGAAATGGGAAGGGGATCAGGCTGAGACTCACAGTACCAGGAAGGGGAAAGGATAAGGGCAGAAGAGGAGACCCCATTGCCCCAATATGTCTGGTACCCCTGGGACTGGCTGGGAAGCCACAGAGGAAGGAAATGGTTAAAGTGGCTTCTCAGCTGGCCGGGGTGCCAGTCTCTGGTCTGGGGATTGGAGGAGGCAGGCATACCCCACTGTCTCAAGAGCCCCCACCTGGCACCTCTGCTCTCTGCCACCTGCAGACTGTCTTCCGGTCACCTCAGATTCGTTGTGTTCCTTTCTCCCGGGCCTGCTCAGCCTCTGTAGCTCTGTCTCCTAGTGAGTTTGCCTTCAATTCTTATCTCATCTAACTCTCCATTTTTCTGTGAGTGTTCTGCCTCACCCCTCTCTCAGGCACCCCTCATGCTCTTCTACTCCATGAGCCCTGCCTCTTTAAGGCATAAACAAAGAACAGCCTAGCCCAGGTGTGGCTCAGTGGTTGAGCATAGACCCATGAACCAGGAGGTCACAGTTCAATTCCCAGTCAGGGCACATGCCTGGGTTGTGGGCTCGATCCCCATTGTGTGGGGCGTGCAGGAGGCAGCCAGTCAATGATTCTTTCTCATCATTGACGTTTCTGTCTCTCTCTCCCTCTCCCTTCTTTTCTTAAATCAATAAATACATATATATACATTTCAAAAACACACAGAGAACAGCCTTATTTGACCAGCCAGACAGGTACCCACGCCCCAGCATCCTTTTTGGCCACTGAGGTAATTCACTCACACCTTTCACCCAAACCCAAGGTTTCCAACTCCTTCTCATCTACTTCCCCAGTCACAGGCTAATACATACCTAGGAACACATCTCTGGCACCCTAACACCAACTCAGAGACCCAATCCCTAACACCAACTCAGAGACCCAATCCCTAACACCAACTCAGAGACACCTAACACCAACTCAGAGACCCAATCCCTAACACCAACTCAGAGACCCCTAACACCAACTCAGAGACCCAATCCCTAACACCAACTCAGAGACCCCTAACACCAACTCAGAGACCCAATCCCTAACACCAACTCAGAGACCCAGTCATACACTTTCTGCCATGGTTTACCCCCCATTGTAATAGTATTTGAGATAGGGCCTCTGGGAAGGAATTAGGGTTAGATGAGGTTATGAGAGTAGAACACTCATGATGGGATTAGTGCCCTTATAAGAAGAATCATAAGAGCTTGATCTGCAGCACATCTGAAAGCCAGGAAGAGAGCTCTCACCAGAAACCAAATCTGCTAGCAGCTAAGCCTTGGACTTTACAGCCTCCAGAACTGTGAGAAGTAAATTCCTGTTGTTTAAGCCAGCCAACCAATGATATTTTGTTATGGCAGCTGACACTTTCTCACATGTGTACATGCACAGTAGGTCCCTCTACCTGTACACAAGCATGAGTCCCATTAGAATATACTTCCTCCAAATTCATAGTCACAAGTCTTGTCCGTGTGTGTGTGTGTGTGTGTGTGTTATGATCTCTGAATGCATAATAATCTGACCACTCCGTGTGTGTGTGTGTGTGTGTGTGTGTGTGTGTGTGTGTGTCTGTGTGTGTGTATTAGAGGCCCAGTGCATTAATTCCTGCATGGATGGGGTCCTGCCAGCCTGGCCAGGGGGAGTGGACATGGGCAGTTGGCTGGCCTGCCTGCTGGTTGAACTCCTGATCAAGGAGACAATTTACATATTAGCCTTTTATTATATAGGATATACAATGAGAGGCCAGATTATTATGTGTTCAGAGATCATAATAATCTGGCCACTCAGTATATATATATATGTATATACACACACACATACAATAGAGATATAAATTTGCATGCACAGGAATCTTGCATGTGTGTTTATGCATGCACACGCAACCACACACAAAAGTCCTATGTGCACAGGCTCAATCACATACAGGACTGCAGAGTGCACCCAGAAAAGTCACACATGTGCCCACACATATCCAGGCTTCACATACACCTATACATGGCCCAAAGGCCACAGGCCCGTTTTTACCAGTTGCTTGCACCATGCACAGCTTGGATGTGAGAGGATGCACTTCTTGCAGGATGGGGCTGGCTGGCAGGATCCCAGCAGGGACAGATCAGGATCACCCCATTCTGTGGCCTCCCCTGGGGGTGAGATCTTCACGTCCAATTCACTCTTACTTCTGCTCAGAATCAGCAGGAAAACAAGAACCATTGACAAAGCAACCATGGTCTGAAATTGAATATAAAGGGAGACATGTCAGTCATTAGGGAGGACCACCCTAAGCTCTCAGTCCTCTAAACTTCGCCTGTGGTTGTCACTCTCAGAGCTCTACCCCAACTCTTTATCTTCCCTCATAGTTTCACTTCCCTGTGTGGATTCAGCAGTTTCTTCAAAATGGCAAGAAGAAGCAAGTACTAGGTCATGACCCATCCCTCCTGTGTGCAGACTTCAAGAGGCCAAGGTGGGCCCTAGCCAGTTTGGCTCAGTGAATAGAATGTCAGCCTGCAGACTGAGGGTCCCAGGGTTGATTCTAGTCAAGGGCATATGCCCAGGTTGTGGGCTAGATACCCATTAGGGGGGCATGAAAGAGGCAGCCAATCAAATCTCTCCTTCCCTCTCTGAAATCAATTAAAAAAATATATTTATAGCCGAAACTGGTTTGGCTCAGTGGATAGAGTGTCGGCCTGCGGACTGAAGGGTCCCAGGTTCGATTCAGGTCAAGGACATGTACCTTGGTTGCGGGCGCATCCCCAGTGAGGGGTGTGCAGGAGTCAGCTGGTCGATGTTTCTCTTCATCAATTTTTCTAGCTCTCTATCCCTCTCCCTTCCTCTCTGTAAAAAATCAATAAAATATATATTTTTAAAAGAAGCCAGGGTTGGCAAAAATGGCTAGTCTGGGGACTTGGCCTAAAGGCACTAAGGTCTACATACAGGTCTGTTCACCAAAATTCCAAGTCATAGTGGAAATAGAACCAAAAGGGGGAAGCAGACCAGCTTCTGGTCCTGCCTCAGTCACTCATTGGCTGTGTGGCAGGTCAGACTTGCTCTCTGGGCCTCATTCCACATCTGTAAAGTGAGGGTGTTGAATAATCTGACAGCACTTACAGCTTTTATAATCTTGGATTCTATATAAGGGACAAGTGTTAGAGGCTGTAAATAGGGGGGCGGGCGGGGAGTCAGGGAGTGGAATGATAGCTGGAGCAAATGAGGGAATATGTGTAAGGCACGAAGGTTAGCTGTATTTGTTGAACATGGTAGCGAGAGGAATAAAGATTAGATCATAAGGACTTTCTGGAGGTCTGGGATAGCACAGGAAGGAAGGGCAAGGGGTGATAAAATTTTTTCTATGCTTTTCACAAAGGAAATCTAGTGGAGAAAGAGCCTGAAAGCCTGGCCAGCATGGCTCAGTGGTTGAACATTGACCTATGAACCAGAAGGTCAGGGTACATGCCCCAGTAGCGGGCTCAATCCCCAATAGGGAATATACAGAAGGCAGCTGATCGATCAATAATTCTCTCTCATCATTGATGTTTCTAGCTCTCTCTCCATCTCCCTTCTCCAATTCAATAAAGATATTTAAGAAAGAAAGAAAAAGAGAGAGAGCGAGATAGAGAGCCTGAAGGCAGGGTAATTTCTAGAATGACCTCTAGGGAATACCAGATAAATTTCTGATTTTAAAAAACATATTAATGAAAATTTTGAATGGGCAACCCATTACCATGCTTCAAAAATAAAAAATAAAAATCTCTAGCCAGTTTGGCTCAGTAGATTGAATGTCAGCCTGCAGACTGAAGGGTCCTGGGTTCGATTCCTGCAATGGCACATGCCCGGGTTGCTGGCTCAATCCCCAGTAGGAGACAGCTAATCAATGATTCTCTCTCATCCTTGATATTTCTCTCTCCCTCTCCCTTCCTCTCTGAAATCAATAAAAATATATATATATTTTTTAAAATCCCATTGGCCTTCTTTTTTCTTTTTTTACATAAACAGAAAAGCTAATTCTAAAATTCTTATGAAATTGCATGAATAGCCAAAACAATCTTGAAAAAGAACAAAGTAGGAAGTCTCACACTTCCCTTAGGTCAGTGGGGTGCTGACATAAGGACAGGCTCATACTGGGAGAAACTGGGAGAAGTCTGGCCACAAGCGAAACTTATATTTATAGCCGAAACCGGTTTGGCTCAATGGATAGAGCGTCGGCTTGGGGACTGAAGGGACCTGGGTTCGATTCCGGTCAAGGGCATGTACCTTGGTTACGGGCACATCCCCAGTGGGGGATGTGCAAGAGGCAGTTGATCAATGACTCTCTCTCATCGATGTTTCTAGCTCTCTGTCTCTCCCCCTTCCTCTCTGTACAAAATCAATAAAATATATTTAAAAAAAAAAAAAGCTTCACAGATAAGAAAAAGCTAAACTTCATCACTGCCAAACCAGTATTATATGAAATGCTGAAAAGTATTCTTTAAGAAAAGGAAGAAGAAGAAAAAGGTAAAGATAAAAATTATGAACAATAAGTACATATCTATCAACAAGTGAATCTAAAAATCAAGTGAATGAAAAATCTTATGAACAGAATAAACTGGTGAATATAATAGAATCGGGCATAGAAAGGGAGTGGACTGACGATTCTCAGGGGGAAAGGGGTATGAGGGTGCGGAAAGAGTCTGGACAAAAATTGTACACCTATGGATAAGGACAGTGGGGGTAAGGCAGAGAGGGGGTTCATCTATCAACTGATGAACAGGTAAACAAAACAGGTATACCCCTACAATGAAATATTATTTGGCCATAAAAAGGAATGAAGTACTGACCATGCTGCAACACTAATGAACCTAGAAAACATTATGCCGAGTGGATAAAATCAGTCACAAAAGACCATGTAATGTATGATTCCACTTATGTGAAATAGCCTGAGTATGCCCAGCCGGCATACTCAATGGTTGAGCATCGACCTATGAACCATGAAGTCATGGTTCTATTCCCAGTCAGGGCACATGCCGGGTTGTGGGCTCAATCTCCAGTGTGGTGTGTGCAGGAGGCAGCTGATCAATGGTTCCCTCTCATCATTGATGTTTCTAGCTCTCTCTCCCTCTCTCTTCTTCTCTGAAATCAATACAAATATTTTAAAAAGAAAAAGTAGATTAGTGGTTCCCAGGAGTTGGGGAGGAGGGAAGGATGGGGAGTGACTGCTTCATAGACAGTTTTCTTTTGAGGTGAAGAAAAAGTTCTGGAAGTAAATAGTGTTCATGGTTGCACATCATTGTGAATGTACTTAATGCCACTGAATCATACACTTAAAAATGTATTTGGTTAAAATGATAGATTTTATCTGTATTTTGCCACCATAAAAAAGATCAAAGTTAAATAAGACACTGGGAAATCTCCCAGTCCTGTTCCCCATCCACCCGCTTCCACACCCACTTTAAATAAATAACCATCATTTATTATTATCATTTGTTGCTTATAATCTTTCTAGAGATTGTTTAATGCATATACAAACTAATGTAAACATACGTAGGGTGTCCCCAAAAATGTATACACACTGACTAATTATAAAGGCAATGTTTATTAAAAAGTACATTTCATTTTCATAATTCAGCTACCAGCTCTTAAAGTATGTGTACATTCCTTGGGGACATTCTGTATATATAGACTCTTCAAATGGTAGAATCAAATGATAGAATACATGGTTTTACATCTTACTTTTTTTTCTCTCCTTTAACTACTTTTCTTAGAGATCCTGCTACCCAAGAAAATAAAGAACTTCCTTGTTTATTTTTACAGGCACATACTTTTTCATTGCATAGATATGTCATATTGTAGTTAGTCTCTTATGATGGTTTTTTTAATTGCTTCTAATTGTTCACTATTGTAAGTAGTACTGCAATGAAAATTCATATATGTTCATTTCACATGTGTGCAAGGGAATCTGTGGGATAAATCCCTGGAAGAGAATTTCTAAGGTCAATAAATAGGTGTCATTTGTAATATTGCTGAGTATTGCCAACACAAGTGCCTTAAAGAATGTGCCAGTTGCCGAAACCAGTTTGGCTCAGTGGATAGAGCGTTGGTCTGCGGACTGAAAGATCCCAGGTTCGATTCCGGGCAAAGGCATGTACTTTGGCTGTGGGCACATCCCCAATGGGGAGTGTGCAGAGGCAGCGGATTGATGTTTCCCTTTCATTGATGTTTCTAGCTCTCTTATCACTCTCCCTTCCTCTCTGTAAAAAATCAATAAAATATATATATTAAAAAAAGAAAAAAAAAAAAAAAGAATGTGCCAGTTTACATCCCCATCCGTGATCTATGAGGAAGGCCAGCTAACTCTTTGCCGTGAAGCATCTGCCTCCTCCTCAGCCTGGACCTAGACTCAAATTCTGATGCTCTGCAGAGTGTGGGGAAGGGTGGGGTGCTGAATCATTGACCACCCTGGCCTGCTCCCCTCCACCTGTGACCTCAGGCGTAGAATGTCTGTATAACAGAGGCTCCACCCTCCGGAGAGAGGCCAGCCCAGTGTAACCTCAGCCTTGCTTGCTCTGCACACATGTGGTCAGGTAGACTGGAGATGCTGCAGTACAAAGCCCACTTTTGAGTCATCTCTCACAGGCGGGGCCTCCATGGTACACTGGTTCCCGGATAGGACAACCCCAGAAACCTCAAGCCCAACTCACCTCCCCTAAAGGGGGCCCAAAGACTCTCTGGACAGCCCACTCCAATCCCCTTCTCCTAATTCCCCCTCCTCCTCGTTCTCCCCTCCTTACAGATAGGTGATCTACCACTTCTCTTGGTCTGCCTCATTCTCCCGTTCCTCTTCCAAAATTTTATTACATTTCCGCTGCTTTTCTCTTCTCCCCTTCTTCACAGATTTTTGTTTTCGCTCCTTTTTCTCTCTGATCCTAACCATAGGATGGCAGAAGCTTCTACTTCACCCCCCTCTTATACAAATGGAAACCCGAATCACAGAGTGGTAAGGGACTTACCCGAGGCCACACAGCGCACCAGAGGGACTGAGACAGGGCTTTCTTTCCCTCCAACCCAGGCACCATCAGTGTGGCAATGGGTGCCCTCCCCCCAAGTAGCCCCAATGGATCCTACCTAACACCCGTTCTCTTCCCATGGGGGCGGGGGTTTTCTTTAGTCTCCCTTCTCTCCCTCCATGGTTGTCTCATTTTCCTGGACTCAGTTCTGACTCCAGTACACACCCTCCTGTTCCCTGAGCAGCTGGGAAACAGCAGGGCCCCAATCCATCCTGGTCTTCCCAAGTCAGGCAGAGCTCTGTGCTGTCCGCTCGGAGTCACCAGGAGGAAAGAGAACCGAGCCACTGGGCCACAGTCGCCCAGGAGTGTGGGATCTGTGGCCAGGTGACCAGAGGGGGACTGAGCTGAGCACCCCCTACACCCTCTCACCCCCCTCCATGAGCACATGAAGCAGCAGGGAGGCAGCTGGGAGTAATATTGGGAGAACCTACCTGACATAATCCTTGGCACATGGCGGGCACTCAAACGGTAGCACTCACACATCCCCTCACCTGTTCCTTCAGCCCCATTCTGGGGAAACTGAGGCCAGAGAGAGAGAGGTGGGGAGAAGGAGGGCTTGTGGAAGGGAGGAGGGAACAAGACAGGGGATCTTAGGAATGCAGAAAGGAGTTCAGAGCCTTGCTCAAGTTCCAGTGAATCCTGGGAGCCTTCAGGTCAGAACCCCTTCCAGGGACGAGGGAACCAGGTAGGGCCTGGACTAGTCCAGAGGCGGGAGGGCTGGTGCCCTGGTACTCACAGGTGCGAGAGGGCAGCCTTTCCTCCAGCGGCAGCGGCAGCCTTTGTGTACTGCTCGGGGAGGCTGCAGAGGAGGAAGTGACACGCCCCGGAGTGGGGAAGACTCGGGGCGGTGGGGGTGACTGATCTAGAAAGTGGAGCAGATGGGGTGGAACTGGGTCAAGAGAGGTGATGATCTAGGGATCTGGTAGATGGCCTAATAGGGGCTGGGTGTATCCTGATGCTATAACTGATCCTCACAGGAGCCTCATGACATAGGTGTGAGTATCTCCCCAGATGTAGAGGCTTAGAGGTAAAAAATGAAAACTGTCCAAGGTCACGTGGCTAGTAACGGGCTGATCTGGGATTGCCTCCAGAGTTGATGATTTCTTCACTCCCTTGTATGTACAGGAACGTGATAGGAGGAATATGGAGGCAGTGAGTACTGTAGAGAGGGGGACATTGGTGACTGTGGTTCATTTTGAAAACCCTGTACCCACTGTATCCTAGTGGGTGCTTAACTCTACCAGCTCTGGAGCCAAACTGCCCAACTTCACATCCTTAGGTAAGTCAATAACTTACCTAAGGCCCCAAGACTGGTAAGGGATGTCCTGTAGCTATTTCCTCATCTGTCAAATGGAACTCACAGGGTTGGTTGTTGAGAATGAAATGTGATTAATTCCTATCAATTGTTTAGAAGAGAACCTGGCACATACTAAGGGCTTGAGGAGAGCATCTGTGAATGAGAAGTCATGAGGTGAAAAGTGGAGAGGCTTTGAGAAATTCAAGGCCCAGGCAGCTGGGAAGTTGAGAGAGAGGCACAGGGCCAGGCTCAGAAAATGCGACTGGGCCAAGGAGCCCAGACAGTAGTTGAGCCTGGAAAGGGGTGGAAGGGCCTCCTAGGAGAAGCATCCTAAGCAGGAATGGCAGCTGGAGCAAGAGCAAGAATGTAGCCTATAGTCTGGCCAGTGTGGCCCTGTGGTTGACCATCGACCTATGAGCCAGGTTCAATTCCTAGTTGATTGCGGGTTGCTGGCTCGAACCCCTGTGGGAGCATGGAGAAGGCAGCTGATCAGTGATTCTCATTATTGATGTTTCTCTCTTCCACCCCCTTCCTCTCAGAAATCAATTTTTTTAAAAATTGTTTTTAAGAATGAAGCCTATAGAAAGACAGGGTTGTGGAAATACTCGCCCCGGCCCGCACTTGACCAGAGGGAGCCTTGAGAAGGAACAGAGGCGAGGTCTGTGTTCACAGGTCTGCCTCCTGTATCAGGGGCACTCCTTTGGGACAAGACTCACTGAAGCCACAGCACCTGGCAAAGTGCCCACCGCATAGCAGGTGCTCAGTAGACGGCAGACGGATTGTAGGAGTGCAGCTGCTGGGAGAAGCAACTGGGGAGAAGGGGCTCCTTCTTTGGGTGGGTTTCAACTGGCCTCAGACTATGGGACCTTTTACCCTTCCCCCACAGCCAGAGGTTACCATGGCAACAGCCTCTCCTACCCCCCACAGGCCCTGTGGTTTCCTTTAGAGCTTCTTTCACTTTCTTCTTCTGCTTTTCCCCAGCATTCTCTCTTCCCCTGTTCCCACATCCTCAACCTCTCCCCACACACACAGGTCATTGGTGAAGACAGCCAGGAACAAGGTAGGCAAGGCACTACCGTCCCAGGGAAGAAGGTGGGCCATGGGTGCAGAGAGGTGACGCTGAGGGAGCACAGGGTGCAGAGGCAGAGGCCAGAGGCAGGGGGGCAGAGAGGGGCAAGGAGAGAGATTAGGGCAGAAGATAGCAGTGGGGTCATGGAAGCTGAGAGGGGCCATGGGGTGAAGAATGGGGTCAGAAGGGATAGAAAGTGGCTCTTGAGAGTGGTCACAAAGGGTGGGAGAGCTCACAGAGTGAGGGGTTGGTATAAACAAACACTAACTTAGATATAGGCCGTGGGTCTTTTCTTCTGGGGCCAGAGACCCTCATGAGAACCAAATGAAACTTCAATGAACCCCCTTCCCAGAGAAGAGCAGAGATACACATATACCCTGAGTGGCCAGTTATTATGATCTCTGAATCCATAATAACCTGGCCACTCATAATGTGTATATTTACATTAGAGGCCTGGTGCATGAATTCGTGCATGGGTGGGGTCCAGCCAGCCTGGTGCAGGGCGGGGGTGGGGAGGGGGGGGGCATGGACAGTTGGCCAGTCTGCCTGCTGGTCGAACTCCTGGTCGAGGGGACAATTTGCATATTAGCCTTTTTTTTTATCAATATATGGGATATACATGGAGTGGCCAGATTATTGTGCATTCAGAGATCATAATCATCTGGCCACTCAGGGTATATAACCATGGGTGGGGACGGCGTAAAGACCTTTGAGGCCCATTCCTGCCTTCCCAGAATGGGAAGAATCTAAGAATCCCCCCGGGTGGTTTGGAGGCCCAGAAACTCAGGGTGGGCCCTGAAGGCTGCCTTTCTCTCCCTCCCCTCACTTCCAGGCACATTACCTTCTATGTCCTTGGTTCCCCTGAGAAAGCCGCAAAGCCCAGCAGATTAGCAGCTCTCCCTCTTCACCCAACCCCCCCTCGGGTCAGCTGGTCCTTTCCCCTACCCACACCTCCCCAAGGGAGCCACATCTCATGAGTTTCTATCACTTTATTTTGCAAAAATAGAAAACTCAGCAATATGCGATACAGCGGGGTGGAGGGGAGATGTAAACAGAGGGGAAGGGACAGCACCCTGACCCCCCAGGAAAACGGGGAGCCAGCGGGAATCTTATTTGGCAGCTAAATACAAACTGGGGATGGGAGGAAGAAGGGGAGAGTCACAGGGGCCCTGGGCTCCCCCCCCCCCAAGACCCCTAGAGGAAGGGGTCGATTCCAGGGTGTAAACAAAAGCTAATAAATAAATAGAGGCTTCCTCTGGGTCGGGGCAGGATCAGCTAAGCAGCACCCACCCCCCCTCTCCCTGGGCCAAGCTGCTTTGGGGGTCAGGGAGGAAGGCACTAGGGGCAGAGGGGTCCCCTGGCCCCTCTGTAGTGTAGGAGGGTCCCTGCCCCATGGCTGAGATGGGGGGCAGGGAGAACCCAAGGCACATGACAGGACTGGGGAGGGGCTTAGAACAGAGGGCACAAAGGTAAACTCTGGGCCCAAGCAAAGAGGTGCAGAATGGGCCTGCATCTGTAGCTTTCACCCTCTGGACCCCGACAGGAATGCAGGGCCTGGCACGAGGGTGGGGCATAGAGGACAGCATGCACCGGCAGGTGCACTTACGCAGCATTAGGCACCAAGGGCAAGGGTAAGGGCGAGAGGGTGGCTCAGCCTCCCCCACACCCCTCTTTTGGTCTCTAGTGTTCCTGTTTGCCCCCAGGGGCCTAAGCACCGGGCAGAGGAAGGGGCTGTGGAACAGCAGGGCCCTCCTCCTGCCCCGGGGAGATGGGACCCTGGTGTCCTAGGGCAGTGTTGAGATTTTAGAGTCCAAACCCAGGCTCGCCCCTCTGCCCTCTCTCCCAGAGGGAGCAGAGCAGGCTCACAAGACGGGAAAGGGAGCCCGTTCGAGCAGGAAGGGAACGAACACAAACTTGGTACCCCCCTGGAAACTTTGGCAAAAACAAGGAGCTCATTGGAAGGGGCAGGGAGAAGGCAGAGCAGGTCCTCCCCCAGGCACTGGTGGTGTCTGGGAAATGGTCAGTCTGCTGCCTGGAGCCCCAACCCCCGTGGCAGGGAAAGTCAGGGGCCCTGGTCAGGCTGAGGGCTGCGGCCCCCTTTGCCCTGGCCCCCTGCAACCTCATCCTTGCTAGAGGCCTTGGGGTGGGGGCCGGTCTGCGAGGAGTCGTCCTCAAACATCTCAGGGTTCTCCAGCATCTCTCGAATCAGGGGCGGCATCGGGCCTGGGATCTCCATCTTCAGGGTGATGGCCCTTTCTGCCCCTGCAATGGAGGGGCAAAAGGGTTTCAGGGGACAATGGCACATGCCCCTCGGGGCCACCTTTCCTAACTCCCCTCTGACTCCCCTCTGGGGGCACCCAGCACAGGCCTGCACTCTCACCCTCTCACCCTCCCACCCTCTCCCTAATTTAGGGCTCTGGCCGGAGTCTCTGCCTGTTTTCTCTGCCAAGCTGTTGCCCATTCATCCTGTTCTTTTAGGCTGTCTTCTCCAAGATCACACCGTGACCAACCTCCAGCCCCATTCCCCAGGAACCCCACCCTCCAACGTCCACAGCCCACCTGTTATTCCTACACCTGTTTTTAACAGCATATAAGAAGGCTTATGATTTAGCAAACGCTTACTATATCTGCCAAGCATCCTTCTAAACCAGCACTGTCCAACGGAACTTACAGCGATGCTGGAACATCTGCTCCATCCAGTATAGTACATGCAGCCATGTGGCTACTGCCTCTGAGGAATGGATTTTTCCATTCAGCACAGTTCGAAGGCTGTTGTGTATTAATTCGTTTAGACCTCACAGTCACTAATGAGGTAGGCGTACGTATAGTCCAGTTTACAAACAGGAGAACAAGGCACACCGAGTAAAGGAGTTTGCCCCAAGTCTCCCCCACAGCATGTGGCAGACCTGGGTTCCACTGTAGGCCCTGGTTCTCACCTACCCCGTTCTTGCCTCTATTTGTCCACCTGGTGGACCTGGGGAGGGAGGGGAGGCTCACTGGGACTAACCCTTGGTGCTGATGCCCCGGAGGTCAGTGATTTTCATGAGCATCCTTGGGAACATGTAGGGCTGGCTGGGCCGCCGCCGCCGGGCATAGAGCCTCAGGGCTTCCAGCAGTGGCTCCTGCAGCTTGTCCACTTTTTCAGGTTCCTCCAGGTCCATGCGGTCTAGGACAAGCACAGAGCAGAAGGGGAGAGGTGGGGAGGATACCAACAAGTGGCTGATCCTCAATTGGCAATGCCTTATGGGCCTCCAAGCCTCAAATTTTATCCCATCAGCCCTTTGCCTATTATCCCTAAGCCCCATCCAGGCCATCTCCCCTGCTCCAGGCTCTACCTTCTCCCCTGTAGTAAGAGGCTTGCTCTGATAAATCACTCCTGCCCAGACCTCTCCCTCAGCTCCGGTATCTGGGGTCTCTCCAGCTCCCCCTAGCTCTGCCCTTTTTGTCCTGTGTCCAGGCTCAGGAAGCTGGCCCTGGATCTAAGAAGTCTGTGGATGAGGCCAAATACAACAATCCCAAGGGTACAGACCAAGGTTTCCAGCCTAGTGAGAGATCAGGGAGATCAGGTGTGATATGTGGTGGGAAAGGAACAAAAAAGAAAACACCAGGGGGCGCCCCCACACCTCCGCAGATGAGGCAGATGGCACTGAGCAGGCCGGTCTCTGTGTCATCCATCTCCAATGGCAGGAGTTGCCCAGCAAAGGCAAAGACGAGGTCAGTGAGGGGTCCAAAGCCAGCGTTGTGCATCTGAGTCCGGTTCAGGGTCAGCCCGTCAGAGAAGGTCATGGTGTCCTGCTCTGGGGTGTACCTTGTGCAGATCCGAAGCATCTAGAGATGGGCGAGGGGAGGGTTAATGCCATCTCTGGAGATGGGCACGTGTGGGCGTAGGGCAAAGAGGGAATGAGGTGCACGTGGAAAGTGGGGTGGTTAGATGCAAAATGAGGACAGTTTGAAGCAGGCCTGTGGGGGAAGGCAGGGAGGTGTATAGGATCTGAAGCTTGTGGAGGGGGGAGATGTCAAAAGGAGGGTAGAGTCAGTCTTAGGGACAGGGTTAAGCTAAAAAGGGTGGTGTTGAGAGGAGATCTGGGGATCCTTGGATCTCAGTAGAGTCAGCCCAGGAACAGAAGGGTTAATGGTTCAATTCCCAGTCAAGGACATGAACCTGGATTGCAGGTTTGATCTCATCCCAGTCAGGGCGTGTGAGGGAGGCAACCCAATTTGATGTGTCTCTCACACATCCATGTTCGTTCTCTCTCTCCCTCCCACTCTCTCTGAAAATCAATGGAAAATATATCCTCGCATGAAGATTAAAAAGAAAAATAGAGAGCCAAAACCGGTTTGGCTCAGTGGATAGAGCGTCGGTCTGCGGACTGAAGGGTCCCGGGTTCGATTCCGGTCAAGGGCACGTACCTTGGTTGCAGGCACATCCCCAGTGGGGGGTGTGCAGGAGGCAGCAGGTCAATGTTTCTCTCTCATCGATGTTTCTAGCACTCTCTCCCTCTCCCTTCCTCTCTGTGAAAAACCAATAAAATATATTTTAAAAATAAAAAATAAAAATAGAGATTTGGGGAATCCCAGATTGGATGCAGGAAGGAGAAATAATAAAAATCTTGGTGTGGAGCAGCTCCTCGGTCTCCTGTGAGGGTCCGGCTGTGGTGGGAGACAGGCCACAGGGTCACAGCTTACCAGGATGTCCAGGCAGGCAGCCTTGAGCAGAGTGATCTGGTCCGCAATGCTGAGCCCTGTGAACCCGGGCAGCCGCTTGGCAAACTCCACAATCTTGATGATGCACTTGGTGGCCAGCTCGCTGAACTTGTCCCACAGCCCCAGGTCCAGCTGCACCCGGTGGTCTGCGCTGGAGTTCTGCAGGGCGGGCAGGTGAGGATGCAGGCTAAGCTGTTTTCCTTCTGCCAATACCTCAAGCTCTCCCCTCCGCATTCTCAGCACCAGACCATGGCCTCCGACACACCCCTGCCCATGCCCCAGAACCAACAGTGCCCTGCCCCACTGCTCACCGTGGTGTATTTTCCCAGCTGGCAGAGTGAAGGGAAGGTCTCCTGATGGGCTTTGCTGACCTTGGTGATGAGCTCCTCTAACTGGGGGCTCAGCTCATAGCTGTCAAGGGAGCTTTCTTCCTTCACCTCTTTCTTTTTCTTGTTCCGGTCATTCCGCACAGCTTGGGGGTAGAGGTGCAGAGAGAGGGTCAGGGCCCTCAGAACCTCCCTCTGGATATCCCCTTTCACCCCAATTTAATGTGCTCCATCCTCATCGTGAACATCTATTCACCCTGGGGACCCTAAGTCAGCGCCTCAGGTACCCTGGCTCCCACATTAGCTCCCACTTCCAGGCTGGCTCTCCCCAGCCCCACCCAGGGCCTACAGCTCCTGCTCCCTCCCCAGGCCATTCAGCTCCATCCTGCCCTTCCTGTCACCCTGCAGGAGCTGAGGTGGGGGGCAGGATATGCAGGCGGCAGGATATCCACTTATAGCCTTGGCAGCACAATGGCGCAGGGGGGGGCACCCCAGATCCACCTCAGGCTCAGCCCTAGGAGCTGGGAAGGGGACTGGCAAACTCCCCTCACCCCTCTATGTAACAGGAGAATGTGAGAGGATAGGCCCCATTTACCCAAGGGTTAGTTAGGCTCAGAGAGGGGAGGATGGGCAGGGCTTTTCCTGGGTGAATGCCGCTAATCAAATAGAACTGGCTAGGAAGGAGGCAACACCCCAGGGCAAGCTGATCTCAGATGTCCGGGAAGTAGAAAGAGCGCAGCAAACACAGGCGAGGTCAGGAGCGCTCCTGCCCAGGCCGGGGCTTGCGGCTTGGGGCCTACCTTCCTTGGACATGCCCACTTCAAAGCACTTCTGTAGCCGACAGTACTGGCAGCGGTTCCGGGTCACCTTGTTGATGATACAGTTTTTGTCTCGGTGACATGTGTACACCATGTTCTTCTGGATGCTGCGTCGGAAGAAGCCCTGGAGTCGGGGGCGGGGGATGTGAAGCAGGATGCGGGGAGCACCAGCCTCTCATAGGCCCTGTAGGTTACCCCAGGCCTGACCGACCCACTCTGTGTACCACCTCCGTGCCAAGCAGCCCCCTCACCCACCGTGTGGCACCCCTCTGCTCTGGCCCCTGGTCTCTGATCTCACTAGGTCATGTGTCCACCCAATGTGTGCCCCCCCCCACGCCCCCACCGCGCACACACCTTGCAGCCTTCACAAGAGCTGACCCCATAGTGGTAGCCAGAGGACTTGTCATTGCACACGAAGCACGGCTTGTAGACCCGAGGAGGTGGAGGGGGCGAGGGGGAGCTGGGCACCATCTCCTCAGAGCTAGTGCTCTGCGTCTCCACGGCTGGGGGGGAAGTATATGTGAGAGGATTGGGAGGGAATCCCTCAGGCCTCCAGGGGTTCATGCACACAAACCCATTCCAACCTCCCAGACCCAGCAGAGACACCACCATCACCACCACAGGGATTCCACGTCCCAACAACTATGGACAACCCCCCTAGTAAACACTTCCAGAAACCCCAACTAACCACTATCACCCCACCTCCCCCAACCCGGCCCTCTCCCCCCACAGTGCCAGCCAGACACTTACATAACACCGTTCAATCCTCTAAATTCCAGGCCAAGGCCATTCTGGAAGTTAGCTCCTACGGGCCTCTGTTTCCCTGGCTATAAAGTGGGTAGGTGGGGGGTTATGGCCCATGGCTCTGAACTTCTCAGTCACTCCCTGTCCCATCAATGGATGCTTCTCAGGTAATCTACCTCTCACCGTCCTCCTCCTCACCAGGCCACAGCTCTGGGGGTGATAGGCAATCCCCCACAGCAGCACCTGGCTAAATGACCCGTTAGGATACTCAGCAGGCAGAATAGGACTTAATTTCCTTTCAAGTAGTACAAGGTAGATAATCCTTCAGCTTTTCCCCTCTCATACTACCCACTATCATTGCCAATGTCTTTCTCACCAGAAACCACTGAGACCGTGGAGCAAACGGGACACGGGTTGTAGGGAAGTAGGTTAGAGGCTGTGCAGTGACCTTAGTTTACACCTGAAGGAGCGGAGGCCAGCAGAGGGAGTGGCCAGCCCAGGCCGCACTGCCCGTGGACAGTGGAGCCAGGGCGCTCTGTCTTCTGACAAGCTCTGAGAGGTCTGGCTGAGAGTCAGAGGCTGGAAGGAGAGACTGAGGTATTTGCTTAGATTCTCAGGTCTAGAAGCTGCTGGGAATGTAGCAAACTAGAGAAGTCAGGTGACACTGGGTAAACAGGGCCGATGGGGGAGGGGAGCTGGAGCTGGAGCCTCTCTGAGCCTATGTTTTCACCCCTAAACTTCCCCAGCAATACCCAATCCCAGCGCAAAAGGGGTCTCAGCCCACTCCACCCAGAGTGTGGGGAGAACACCCTCTGTTCAGCAGGCTGCTAAGTAAGCCTTTTTCTTTCTTTCTTTTTTTCTTTTTTTTTTGGGGGGGGGAGTCGTGGTGGGTTGATATTCAGAGACTGGAAAAATCTGCAAGTTATTCAACCTGTAGGACTTGTTGCCCAAAGCGGGAGGGCCCAAACGATGCCAGGAAATCCTAAGATCCTCCCTAAGGAGTAGCCCATGCACCCACCTCATGAACATCTTCCTTCTTCTAACCCGATGCAGCCCACCGGGTCGGAGGTCCACCCCAGGCCCCAGAAGGGCAAAAGGAATGCCCAGGATGCTGGTCTGGGTAGCTCCGCCCACCCCGCAGGAGGGAAGCCCTTCCGCCCCCCAACACACAGACACTCCATTAACATAAGAATCCTGCTGGAGGGAGAGTCCCCAAAGAGAAAGGAGAGAGAGGAGGGGAGGGGGAAAAGGATGGCTGGTGTCTATTCAGATTGGGGGGCGGGAGACTCCCGGAGAGGCTGGGCTGAGGGATGTGGGATGGGCTGGAATGCCTGTCAGGACCCCTCTGTGGTCCTCGGTGGGTACCGGGGCCGCCACAGGCCGCTGTGTGGAGTGCTGCTGACTGCTGACACCCTCCCAGCCCACAGAGCGCTGCCTCATTTCCTCTCTTGTGAAAGGGCCTGGGTGTGGTCAGACTGGCACGGGGCAGTGCCAGCCAATTATAGGAGTGGGGGCTACGGGGAGACACCCAGGGGCAACTTTTCCTGTCTATGTGGCACTGTCAACCCTTCTCGGCACCCCTCTGGCACAGAACACCCCCTAAAACCTAACGTGGGTGAGGAGCACGGGAAAGTGAACTGGGTCTACTCTGCTCAAGTCCCCTACCCAGCCGGCCCGAGCCCCGCCATCGGGATGGGATGCAGCTCCGGGGCTAGGCTGGGGCCCCTGCTGGGGAGGAGGGGAGTGGGCTCTGGGTTTTTCCCCTTTTAAAGCCCAAATTGCTGAAATTGAGGAAATTCCTGGCCAGGCTGAGCGGAGCTTCAAACAAACTCTTTATAACCGGCTGTAAACGCTCCCAGCTGCGAGGCCCAGGGCTGAGAAGCCAGGACTCACAATCTGCCACATCCCTCCTTGGAGACACACTCACACTCACACTTCAACAGCACAGGGGGCACTGACGCCGGCCTATGACCAACGGGCTCCTACACCACACTGGGCCCTGGCACAGAACCCAGGCGTCATTAGGGGACACTGGCCCCAACCACCCTGTGGTGGAGGTGGACGTACAAGCCATAAAGCGGACACACAGCTCCCAGGGCCCCGCTCCACATCTGCGAGGGAGAAGCTCTGCTACCAGACAAACACCCGGGCCTGCCAACGCAGCACCAGGACACGAGCTGCCAAACATGCACAAACAAACCACGCGCCCTCCCCTCCGAGGACCTCCTTCCTTCCCTGGTTAGGACGTCCAGGTCTAAATGACTTTCTCTCTGAAAGTGTATGGAGCAGGCACGAAGCCCACCGAAATCCGAGGGGCCAACATTATTGGTCCAAATTGAAATGCAAAAACATACTGCCAGCCAGATGTAAGGGGCCTCCGTGGGCCTGGGGGGGGAAAAAAAAACAAAACAAAAAACCCCGGGGTTCCTGCCCAGCCTCCACAAAAACCCTTCCCTAGATTTTTCTCCACCTCAGCACCCCTCCCAACACATCCTATAGGGCAACAAGAAGAAGATAAGGATTCACGAGGATTTGGTGCAAAGCCATAGTGTCATGCTTTCTCCGCGCCCTTTAAATGCCACACTTTTCATGCTTGTCCCTCCCCACCCAAAGTGCAGCCTCCTGTTTGCCACCTCCCTCTTCCAGTCTCCCGGTTGTTAAATCTGAGCAGCTCTGCCCTGAAACCAAAAGACCAAAAAAAAAAAAAAAAAAAAAAAAAAAAAGGCGAACTCGTAAACAGCGCCGCGGAGTGCCAAGGAGCGAGGCGTGCTGGCGGGGGCTCGGTGACCCCGCGGGCGCACTCCCCCAGCGCCCGCCGCCGCCCCTCCCCTCCCCGGCGCGCCCCCTAGCCCGGTCCCCCAGCGCCCGCACCGGCTCCGAGCGCGGCCCCGGCCCCTGGTACATTTGGGGGGAGGGGGTTCCAGGCTCCCCTCCCGGCTCCTCCCCACACCCCACCCCCGCCAGGCACTTGGGCCCAGGCTTCAAAGCCGCCTCTCATCTGGACTTCATTTTTACTGCCTCTCAGTCCCCAGCTTTTTATTACCGCTCTGGAAGGGGGTTCCAGGGCCCCAGGCCTGGCATCTCCCATTTCACAGGGAAGGAAAATGGGTATTTGGGGACCCAGGAGTCGCACTCCACCCCCCACCCCCCCACCTCGGCCTTTGCCACCTCCAGTCCAGCTCCCCACCCCCTTCCATACACAGACTTTGCTTTAAACTTTTCGCTTCCTACTGAAGTTGTGTGTGTTGGAGCCAAAGGAAGAAAAAAAAAAAACATCTCTCTGCATACAACCCTATACACATTTCCACAAACATGTCTTTTTGAAAGGGGGGAGGGGAGCGCCAGAGCCCAGCCTGCCCTCGCCGGGCGGCGTGCACCACCCCTTCCACCCTGCGCCGAGCACACAGGATGCACCCTCGCACACAGCGCTTTCCAACGCCGCCCTCGCGGCCACGCCGGGCACACGCCCTCCCGCTCTCACGCCACACACATCCCCGGACCCGGCCGCGCGGACCTGCCAGCGCCGGCGGGGGCGACGCTGCGTGGAGACTCCCGCACCCCCACCCCCAGGCCAGGAGCTGCACGCTTTGGAGACAGATTCACACGCTCTGCAAATCATTTTTTTTTAACCCTCCCAACTTCCCACATGGACTTTACAAACGCCACCCACGGCCCCGAGTGACACAGCCCTCCAGAGCCACGGACCTGCGGGCACAGGACTGCCTGTCCCCGCGAACTCTGGAGTGACATCAGCCACAGGTCCCGGCTGAACACCCACCACCAGGACCACGCACATTCAAATACACAGCACACACCCAACGGAGCCTCCGGGCCCCCGCGTTTAAAGGGCCAGTGCCTCTCTCTCCCGCACACCCACCGCTGTCTCAGCGTCTCCGCTGGCACCCCGGTTCCACCTTTTACACATGGAAAGCGTCAGCCGCTCCCTCTCCTGCACCCCACCCCCAACCCCAACCCCAACTCCCTCGGGGCTCGGGTACCTACATTGCAGGCTGGCGGGCTGCGGCCAGGCAAAAGACTCGAGTCCGGCGAAGCAGGAGCTGCCCGCGGCTCTGCGCAGCAAGCCGGCCCCGGGCCCGACAGCCCCGTACAGCCGTCGCGGACCCGGGGCGAACGTTTCCAGGCAGTCGTACATCGCGACCCGGCTTGGAGGAGGGAAGCTGGGTGATAGGAACACCGAGGACTCGCAGCAGCCGATTCCCCCTCCTCCCCCAGCGGCGCCCAGCTCCTGGAGGGGGGGGAGGGGGAGGGCTAGCATAGGGCGCCGGGCTGCATGGGGGGTATGGGGTGGGCGGGGAGGAGGGGGATCCCCGGCTGGGGAAAGGGACTGGGCGGGGCGCGAAGCCGAGGCTGCCGCTGGAGCAGCGGTCCGGCTCCCTCTGAGCGTCCGGGCGGCTAGCACTGGGGAGACCTTTTGTAAAAGCGGAGCCTGGAGGGGTGGGAGGTGGGGCTTGGAGAGCGAAGGGGGCCGGGCACTGAGATGAGCAGAACTGAGAGTGGAGCGCACACGCATATAATAAACACGCTCGCACCGCGGCGCCCTCGCTTGCTTAGACATACAGCTGTGCACGCGTTTATCTTGGCAGGCACCGCGATTTGCAAATATGCAATAGTGCACATTCGTATCTGCCGGCACAGAAGATCACGGTTGCACACACGTCGGTGCAAACACACCTGGCTTGCAAGCATTCTCTACACGGGGAGGCTTTGCACGCCTTTGCATTTAGGCGCGTGCCCCGGT